AGGAATCCAAAGTTCCAAAAAGGAAAAAGGGGAGAAAAAAACGTGAAAAAAGCTTGTATACGTTCCTAGTATATCTTTCATGTTGTAAAATTCTCATTGCGATAATGAAAAAAGAGATTATTGTATCTAATTTCTATGAACACTTGAACGTTTCAATGATAATCTTATACGTCGTTCCTTTTTAGTTGGCTTGAGATTTGTCCATACAAATTTTAACGTCAACACTATTCATTACATCATTTTTTCTAATGGAAGACAAACACACATTTAAAAACTATAACATACCCTGTCTGTATAATAAAAATGATCTCCTATTTATGGTGGGTAGGATAATTCAATATTATCAAAAGTTGTAAGCCCACGTCAGCAGTGAACGACATATCTGCTATCCATCATGAGTAGAAGATCATTTTTGATATGTACAATTCCTATGTTTAACCTTTTTTTAAATTTTATTAGTTTAGTAATTTTTTAAAATTATAACTTTTTTTTTTGTTAATTGTATTATGCTCCAGCACAGTTGCGAGTTTTACGAAAGTAATCAATCCATTAGATAATGTCATTTGTACACTCAAAAATATACATCGTATTTGGCATTGGCTTTGGTTTAAAAAACTTGTTGGATGAATTTTTTTTTTTTTTCCCTAAATTGTCAAATAACAATTTGCTATGGGACAAATTGCCAAACGTGGTGTAAGCATGATTGTAATCCTTTTTCCTCTCTTCACTTTATCCACAGCCCCAAACGACAATGCAAAAAAAAAATAAAGAAATAAAAATAATAATTTGCTTTTTGTGAAATGACAGTAATGACAAAAATCCGTTAACTTGTCAGTCAATACACAAGGGTATTCATGTAATTTCATCAAATGCAAGTGTCAATTGGAACCCCATACTGTTCACTTAGCTCAAAACGCTTTCTACCCGACTTTCTACCACTTGCTCTCACACATTGTGCAATTTATTCAAGAATCAAGCCACTCCATGAACAGTTGATCATAAATTGATCTAATCAGGATTCAGAAGGTTAATCAGTTTCGCAGTCAGAGGTTTTGATTTCCCTTTTTGATTTATTTGGTAATTTTTTGCAGATTGGTGAGTTCTCTCTTCTTTTTTGGGGATATTGAGATCTGGGTTTGAATGGTTGATTTTTCTGAGTTTAGGTAACCACATTAGTATGATCATTTAATGCATTGGTGGTGTAGACCAGTTCTCTCTTGGATTTCTCATTTACTTGCATGCAATGGGGTCAGTATTTCCCTTCTCTCTCTCTCTCTCTCTCTCTAGCGCTCGTGTGTTACTGTTTGTGGATTTCTTAATTGAGTTTTCATTTTGTACAAGTGGAGAAGCATAAGGTATAACTTGTAAACAACGACTTATTGATATATTTATATTTCATAAGCAACTCTCAATTTAGTGAATGGGCAATTGGGCAAAAAGTTTGGGAATTGTTTGTTTGTTTGTTTAGTTTAGTTTTTGATTGCACGGATTTTATTTTCCCTTTTCTGTATGGGAAGTGAGTAAATTGTTAGAAAGTAACTAATTTCAATTCCTTACTTTTGCTGTGTGTGAAAGGTTAGAAATCGGAATATAATATAAAATTGTAAAAGAGATATATTCTTGTTTGATGTGAGGCTACGTTAGGAATAAAAGTTTTTTAAATTAATGGTGAACTGGTTCTTTGCCTTGGGTTTATGGGCAACCCATTTTTTAATTAATAATTTGTTTGTGTGTACTTTTAGCTTTGTTCTGTTTTTGAGAATTGGAATCTTAGTTTTGCTTCTACTTTAAGCAAGTATTTGTAATGTATGTAAGCAAGTTCTGATTTCTCTCTTGCTTTATTAATTATGCTTTGCCTGTTATGATAATTTGTTGGAGTGGTACTTATATTCCACGTCCAATTGTATGGTTTAGCTATGGTACCAAAAGAAACTTGTCAAAAAGGGAAAAAAATTTAAACATACAAAAAACTGACAGAGATGTATAATAAATGGTGTTCAGCAATAAAAATGGAGGCCTGTTTTGGAGGCACGTCTTTGTGTTCTTCATTCCAATGCTTCGGGAAGTATTTTGTAGCTCTTTTTCGGTTGATGATGGAAAGGTTGAAGGATAAATGCAGAACTCCTTTCAGTGTAAGAGGTCATAATGGGTTTAGAACTTTTTTACTCACTTGGCTTCTTTTAAAGTAGTCGCAGAAATTTGAGTGCTTTGTCTGCTATATTCGCATGTTGGGGTTTTCCTGTGCCTTTTGTGCTAAATGGTCAATGGGGGAAGATGAATTATCCGTGTGTGTTTTAATTTGAGGTGTGTATATACATATCTCTGTGTTAGCTCTCTCTCTCTCTCCCCTCCCTCCTCCTCCTCTCTGATAAGTTTATGGACTTGGGACTGAAAATCAAAGTTAATTCCTCAAGTCTCATCAAATGATTTTCGTAGTATAAAATGTTATGTGATCTAGTTCTTCTGGTTCTTGTGCTCATGCCAACCTATTCAGTTTATTTTTAAGTAATTAGCGAAGAATTTCCTTGAGTTCTCTTATATAGCTTTATCTTTTTTCTTTTTCTGTAGAATTTGTGCAATTAATAAAATGTTACGAGCCACTATCTCCTATCAAGAATCCTAATTTTTCCTGCTATAAGCCTATAACCAAAATTTCTTGCCATAGATTGCTTTGGATACTGCTTCACTATTAGTGTCTTGTCAATATACATGTGTGTGTATTTTGAATACTATTTTGCTATTAGCAAACTCATTATTGGTATCTAAAAACTAACTTTGAACCGTATGTTATGGCTCCAAGTCTCCTCACCACAAAATATCTTTAACATCTTTTTACTACTTTTTCTCCTGCCAAGCTCTGCATAGATTAAATAGAAGACTCGATTTAATAGAAAGAGATTACTATGATATATTAAAATTTGTTTACCTTCATTCAATTTTACCGGAATGCAAGCTAATAATGGTGTTGAGGCAATTAGAAGGAAAACTAAA